CCATTTTATTTGGGTCACAGAGTCCTATAAGTTTTACGCCTTATATTTATCGTCGCGATACCTACGGCTATTCATAACATGTTGAAATAGTTGTTTTTCGACCGAAACAAAGAAAACTTGAATCCCGAGAAGTGTAAGTTATAAAAGTAGAACCTCATTCGGGGAAAACTACAATGGAGGCGGAATATGGCAAACAAAATTCAACGAAACTATCGGAAATACAGATAAAGAAATTGTTTCGCAAGGTACAATTAAATTTCATTATTTTGTTAAAAAATTAGCTCTATATTAGTATTATTACACATATAATGTAAAAATATAACTCTTTAAATTTAAACATTTAAGTGTTTGTAACATGTTAAAATCGTGTATCATAGAATTTGTTAGCGTGTGTTTGAATGCATTATTACACTATATCATAAATTGTATCTAGCAATGATATTTGACCATAAGGCCTTTGTAGGTCACACGTGTTGTTAATATGCAAGTGCCTGGCCACTGGATAAACCACGGACGCCCGCTCTCTTAAAAGCTAATTATAAACTTTACATAGTTGCCTTTATTTTAAGCCGCAGTCTGGACGAATTCCACTATGCCTACCAACTAAAACATTTTAAATGTACTGTTGTCTTTTAAATTTATAGTTTTTGACAGATTTCAAATAAACCTATAATTATGGGAGCTTTTTTCATGTATTTATATTATGTAATTTCTTTGGCAGTGTCATTCCACAGATTATCCTGATTTAATTAATAAATTAGTAAAAAAAAACACAGATTTCGTGTCTGCCACGACCTTAGAGTACATTGAAAATGAATCTGCCAAATGAACTGAATTAAATTTTTAACATATTAATTACTAACAGAACAACCGATGATATTGATGCATAAAGATATTATCTATCTATACTAATATTATAAAGAGGTAAAGTTTGTGATCTTGTGACTTTGTGAGCTTGTGACGTTGTAGGGGTAATCTCTGGATCTACTGAAATGATTTTTTAAATTCTTTTACCAATAGAAAGCCACGTTCTTTTTGAGTGTCATAGGCTATATATTAACCCGAAAAATTAAAAGGCTTTTTCGTGGTAGTCGGATTTGCAAAGTAAGTCAAGAAAGCAAAAAAAACAGTCGAACGAAAACGTTTCTTACGAACTGTTATATATATGTTATGTATATAATGGCGCCTAGTAGCCCTATTCCTTCTCCTTGGTCAGCACTTTTGATGGTTCATAATTATGAAATATTAATTATAGTTCAGTTCGATTCCAACATCCGCGCGTGACACTTGCCCTAATAAAATCGCTAAAGTAAGTTAAACTGTCAGTTTGCTTAACTGTCAATTAGTTTAACTGTCACTTTGTTTAACTGCCAGTAAGTATAACTGTCAGTTTGATTTACTGTCAGAAACGTTAACTCTCAGTTAGATTAACAGTAACTTAGATTATTGGCTAGTTAGTTTAAAAGTCAGTTATTTTAACTACCAGTAAGATTAACTGTCAATTTGTGTTACTGTCAGAAACATTAACTGTCAGTTAGATTAACAGTAAGTTAGATTAACGGCTAGTTAGTTTAACTGTCAGTTATTTTAACTACCAGTAAGTTTATCTGCCAGTAAGCTTATCTGCCAGTAAGCTTATCTGCTAGTAAGCTTATCTGTCAGTAAGCTTAACTGTCAGTTTCATTAACATCAATCTAACTGACAGTCAAACTTACTGGCGGTTGTACTAACTAACAGTTAAACTAACTGACAGTTATATTAACCGGCAGTTAATATTACTAGCCGTTAATCAAACTGAGAGTTAAACAAACTGGCAGTTAATATTACTGACAGTAAATCAAACTGACAGTTAAACTTACTAGAAGTTAAACTAACTAGCCGTTAATCTAACTTACTGTTAATCTAACTGACAGTTAACTTTACTGACAGTAAATCAAACTGTCAGTTAAATAATGTGATGGTTAAACTAACTGACAGTTAAGCTAACTGACGGTTTAACTAGTTTTACGACGGTTACGATACGGTTGTTTTTTGACGGTTTAAACAGTTAATTTTAAGTAGTGACAGTTAAGCTTACTAGCTGTTAATGAAACTGACAGCTAAGCTTACTAGCTGTTAATAAAATTGACAGTTAGTCTTACCGATAGTTACATCACTGACATTTAAACAAACTGACAGTTAAACTTACTGACAGATAAGCTAACTAACAGTCAAACAATCTGACAGTTAAGCTAACTGACAGTTAAACTTACTGGTAGTTAAAATAACTTACAGTTAAACGAACAGACAGTTTATCTAACTGACAGTTAAACTTACTGACAATCAAACTAACTGAAGGTAAAACTAACCGACAGATAAATTAACTGACTATTAAACTTACTCTTTCTGACAAGTAATCTTACTGACAGTTAAAGAAACTGATAGTTAAACTTACTGATAGTTAAATTAACTGACAGTTTAATAAACAGACAGTAAAACTAACGGACAGTTAAGCTAACTGGCAGTTAAGTTAACTGACAGTTAACTGTTGTTCTTTACTAAACAGTTAGAGAAAGAGTTACACTAACAAGCAAATATATATAAATATTTTTGTTTGCGTTTTTAAAGAGAAAAGGCGGAGGAGAGGAGAGGAGTGGAGAGGGGAGAGGAGAAGACAGGCGAAGAAGACAGGCGAAGAAGACAGGCGAAGAAGACAAGCGCAGTAGACAGGCGAAGAAGATTTGCGAAAAAGAATTGCAAAAGACAGGCCAAATCTTAACAACAGGCTCCTATGTTCTCCCTCCTCTCCTTTCCCTTTTCTTTTATTTTCCTGCAGTAAAAGGTATGTTAAATATCCTAACCCGAGTAATAAGTTATCAGTACACAAAATTTAGTTAAAAACGGTTCAGTACTTTTTTCGTGAAACGCGCACACCCAAACAGACAAATAGACACACAAAAAACAGACAGACAAAAATTTTCATAATCATTCTTTTGGGGTCTGTAGGACACAGTACGTTACAGTCATTGTTTTGAAAAAATATTTCACGTATAAATTTCGCTTAGTTACTGTTTTATTATATGTATAAATATTAGTTAGTTATTAGTTTAAATACATATTTATTTATTCACAAACACAAAGAATCACTTTGGTTCAAAAACAAAATCATGCTCCAAAACATTTATTCACCGTCATTATCGCACTCACGCACTCTCCTCGCATAAACTTAACGTCACAAAGGTACATCTTCTGAATAACCCATTAGTGATAGGAACCTCCAATATTTTTTAAATGAAGTCCGAAGTCATATCTCTAGGGATTTTTTTATGAATTACGTTTTTTTTTCTGACCGAAACCGAGCGTAAACTGGCCGCATTTTTCACTTGTTTTTGATTAAAAAAAACCCTTTGAGTGTTTTTTTTTGCATTTTGTAGCCCTCATTTAGACGCATCTTTTAACATCCAAAACAATCACGTAGTCCCAAAATCCACGACACCAGGGCGATGTTGCACTTTCGCTGAAAATCGGGCCTATACTGAAGCGACAAAAAACATTCTCAGTGTTAAAATTGAGTATTACCTTTGAGATAACTAATTCATTTTTAATAAATTTCCATTCTAACGATAGAATTAATACTGTGGCTGATTATGAAGAGAGTGTAATTTTTTAGGTAAAAAATAAATTTAATAAAATAATAATTTACTTTTAAAGTTTTATTTTAGTTTAGCCAGATATTTTACAAAACATCGTAGTATGCTACTTGCATACTAACATAATATCAAATAAATAATATTTGGCATAAAATAACAATTAATTAACGATAATACTTGTCTTGAAGTTCTTAACGTAATTATGCTACTTATCTGTACATACCTATAATAAAATTGTAACTGAGTCGAATCTGCACATTCAATATTATTGGAAAAACTTATTGAAATAATCATTATTATCAACGTAAAGGCCGAATCTATAGTTTTTAGTATTTTTGTTTGTCTATCTGTCTCTCTGGGAAGGCATCACGAGAAAACCACTGGACGGATTATGATGAAATTTAATATGGTGATAGCTGGTTATCCGGATCAACATATTATATAGGATACTTTTTACTGCGAGAAATATCGCATTTTTTAAAGTCATATAATATCTCTCCTCTTTTTTAATTTCATTGTTTTATAAAGCTATTTAATTAGATAAGCAAAGTATTTAATCACGTTATTCACAATTAATGGTACGTATAGACCCAAATAACAATTCTATAAATAATAAAACAACATTAGTAATGAGGCGTTTAATTAGTTTTACATATAATACATTTGGAAATGGAAATTTAACATTTATAATAAATACTCACAAAAACATTTATTAATAATAACAAGCTTAATTTATAATTACCAAATATTATTGTTAAAAGCTTGGTAAATTTACACAATGAATGGATTTAAAACACACAAAGAAAAATGATAGGGAATCCTTTTTTAGGTCTCGCTACTTTTCTACTTAGGGATATGGATTTTACCCACCACTCTAGTACAGCAGTGGGTTAGTGGGTGATACATTCTGATACTTTTTTCAAAACAGCCGGTTTCTACCTTATAATCATATATTTTGCAAAAGTGAGATTTTTAAAAACACATAATATACCTACTTAATTATCATATCAGTTTTAAAAACACAAGTTTTACTATATCGTTGGGAATTGACTAGACTGCTATCTCAATTCACGCACAGTTAAAATCAAAAGTCATTAAAAATTAGACACGTATGCAGGACTTAAATAAAATATCTAATTCATTGACTATTTTAATAGCCACTTAGCTTATTCCATCTAAAACATATTGCTTTCCTTAGAGGTACAATTAAAGTTAAATAGGACGAGGCCCTTGTATTTAAACAAAAATCCAAAAATATCTTTTTAATCTGCTTATTCTTTATAAGATTTTGATAAGAAAATAATATAGGTATAATGAATTCTTAAAAAAATATTCCTCACGAGGTCGTCTTTAAATCGGGCGTCGTTTTCAGGGCCATTTCGTCATATTATCGTACAATTTTGTGCTAGAATGTAACATTCTATCCACTTCAATACTTTTATTTGAATCAATATCTGATCCACTTTCCATATAAGTAAATGAATAATCACCAACTGTCGTTTCTAGGTGGCGGTGGTGGTCTGGAAAATGAGTTGCTTGATACATTATAGATGTTTAATATCTATCTAATAACATACTTGGTAGATTAAGTATATTAATCTCTTTAGAGTAATTAAGGGCAAAGTTTTTGAAGGATGCTATTTGGTATTATATCTACTATTTAATATAATGTAAAAGCTTTTACAGGAATTTACACAATCTCGAGCTTTGAATTATGATGGCGAAAATATCAACTATCAATGTTTTGTTCAAAAAGTAACAGTAATAATATAAATACTAAGAAATATATACATACATTTATTAATTAAAAATATATGTATATGTATAGCATATTGAGATAATAAAAATTAAAAAAGTGTTTTATATAATAATGCAGTAGTTTTTTTCCGCGGCTCGCGTGGTTTAATGCTAACTATTCCCTATTATGTTCTTACCTATCAAAATCTGTTCAGCTGTTTAACTTTATGTAAAATGGTAACAAACAAACAGACAGATTTACTTTCACATTTTTATCATATTAATAGAGATTTTAGACTTCATAAATTAATAAATGTGAAGCGTATACACAAAATAAACACCCAAAGTTTTAAATTTATAATTCATGATTCTTGAGCGATTTTAGATTTTAATCTCGTGTAAATTCCTATTTCGATGGTTCCCAAGTAAATAAAGATATCAAATTTTATACGAGGCTTTAAGTAAAGGTAATAAATAATTGAGACGTTATAACATATTTAAAATATTTTTGGATAAAACATAAACCGACTTTATTATGTAATCTCTTCCTTATGAAGTCGGTTCATTAAATAATAATATCTAAAAATTAAAATACACAAATAATTGCACTTATCATATAAATGGCAGATCTGATTATTTACTTGGGAACCCTCAATTTATAAATTTAATATGTATTTTTATATGTATAGAAATTAAGTATATCTATATTTTCTCTTATATTTATATAGTTTAAATGTACATTAAAAAAGAAAAGTGAAAATCTAAATTAAAAAATATTGAAAATGAAATAAATTAACTCTGAGATTTTAATGAAACTTTTAGAACAGCATAAGTATGGTAAAGGCTTCTACTTCGGACGTTGTTTTACTTCTTGCTAAGTTTCGGTCCTTATACGAATTTATCACATCTGCAATGTGAGTTTTAATACCATTTTATTTAGGACATAATATTAGTACATTATAGGTAATACACCTATTACTTATTAAGTATAAAAGTTAGTACCGTACATGTAAATACATGTAAGTACATACTATATTTACAATTTACTGCCAAAATATATTAACTTTATTTAATGCTATAACTAAACTATGAATTTATAATATATACGTATATGTATATAAAATATGTTTTAAAACTAAAGAGAGTAGAAGAAATAGCACTACATAGTACTAACCCTGGTGTGTTCCAGTTGGTGTCGTCGCAGGGTGCAGTTGCAGGTGTTCCGGGTTCCTGTCTGTTCCAAATTTATTAGTCATATCTGAGATTATAGCAATTACATAAAGAGAAAATTTATATAAAAATCACACGTGACTGATTGATTTATCAACTTTCAGACGATGATTAAATAAGATATTTCAATTTTAAAACTTAACACTGAAATGATACGCATTATTATAGCCCGAGAGCTCTCGGAATATTATGTGATGGAGATGAAGGCTAAGTTTTTAACATAAATTTTAGTACTCTTTGTTACTATTTAAACAAACGGATGAAGCTGGGAAATAATATATGTATATACACACATATATGTAACGAAACGTATTTGAATTTTATAAAAATGTTGTCGATTCAAAATTCTTTTACAAAGAAAGCTGCATTGTGCTTCACAAATATGGGAAATGAGTTTGCTGCCAACCGGAACTAAAGTCCCGTGGTGTGTTTTATGGTTTTTGACGTTTTCGTCGGAGCAAATCTAATTTACAATAAAATATAGACAATTGTGTAAATAACAAATAAATTTATGTTTTTTTTTTAAATTAAAAACAAAGTTTAATAAAATTGAGAGATCCCGCTATCATAAGCGATTCGACAATTACGTGAACTGCGGCTTATAACAAAATCCAATATAACTAACTTTGTGTACAAATTAAACGTTGTTGGTTCAAGAATACTTGAAATTAATACTTCAATAAAGGATTCGAATATATATTCGAATTTATATAGACATAAATTAATAATATCTAGTGCTACAGTAATAAATATTTATTTTGTATCTACGTTAAATTTAATTTACACGACTGTCTTTTGTAAGTTTTTGTTATAAGGACAAGCTCTTTATTTATTGTTAATTCTATTTTATGGATATTCTAGTAATGTAATATACTAAAAACATACTTAATTGGTATATAATCTATGTATTTCCAAGTGTATTACTTATTATAAAATATTTAAAGTCCAAATAAAAAAATATTTTTATTCTAATAAAGCTATGTGGTGTAAGCAAATCTTACCCTATGCTGGCCAGTGATAACGGTTCCAAAGCTCTAAGCTTCTTACTGTAGGCCCTCCATAGCTTCACACACAGCGGTGTAAAAATCGTACACCACACAAAGCCTAAAAGGAATCCGCAAAACCACCAGCCGTGCTGAAAAGGAAATTACTTGTTACAATCTAATATAAAAGTACAAGAAATAAATATATAGTGTGAAGAATAATAACAAATTAAGTGAATAGTGATAGGTTACTACTTATCAATAAGTCAAGTATGTTTTAAATTTTTCTTTACACTTAAGATTTTGAATCCTATATATCCTGTGTCAACAATACGATGAATATGGCAATGTAATAATGTCTTCGCACAAATAATATATACTAATATTATAAAGAGGCAAAGTTGGTTTATTTGCTTGTTTGTTTATTTATTTGTTTGAACGCGCTAATCTCAGGAACTACTAATCCGATTTGAAAAATTCTTTTTGCATTAAATAGCCCGCTTATCGAGGAAGGGTATAGGCTATATATCATCATGCTAATACCCAACAAATCGGGCAGACTTCCATACATTACTACTAATGGCATAAAGTCAAAGAATCTTTTTGTAGTTTTAGCACGAGCGAAGTCATGGGTTCTGCTAGTGGGATAAAAACGAAACCACATTCAAAATAACTTTAAATGTAGCTATTTCCACCCTGTTGTTATTTTAGAAATTTTAATGAGATTTCCTTTAAATTAATAATTAAGTAGTTTCACGATAGGCGAAGATATTACGTACCGCGTAAAAAGATTCACCAGAATTGATAACGGTTTCCTTTTTTAAAGTCTACTTTAAAGTACTTGTAATAAAGTAACGGAGTTGAGTACAATTCTCGTTTAATTAAACATCTATATTCTTTATATTATATCTTTAGTTTATGTAAAATGTAATATATTTAGCTATGGGTACAACGAATAAAGGCTTAAATGGGCAATTACAACTCGAAAAAAGAGACATTTAAAGCATAAAAATGTCAAAAGCTAAAATTGCTAATTTAGACCATATTGGTCCCTGGAGTTAAATAAAATGTGACATATTTAGTATAAGTCAGCGTGCTATTTAAAGTATTTATTATACACATACTAGCAAAACCCGCGGCTACGCCCGCGTTCTATCTACAAAAAAATCTTTGGCTTTATGTTATACAGCGACTCAACGTCGCTTTGCTCGTCGTCGCTATGTATTTACATATCATTGTTCATATAAAAATACTAAAATTGCGATTAAAAAATGAGGGGTAGGAGGGTAAAAAATACTTTACGAACTGTTCTTATACTTACCAAATATACAAAAAAAGTTATTAAAATCGGTCGAGCCGTTTTGGAGGAGTGCGACAACAAACACCGTGACACGAGATTTTTATATTTTTTAGATAAGTCACGAAAGTGAAATCAACGAAAAGTACAAATCTGTATTAAACACGCCTTGGATTACCTTTCGAATTTTTTTTTATAATTTAACTAGCGACTCACCCTCGCTTCGCTCGGGTTCGTCCCTAGGTACGTTTTATATTAAAATGGATATAGTATGTTATCCTTAAGAGATAGACATATGCCATCGCGGACTTTTCTGTAGACCTATATAAGACACAATTCCACCATACATTCTTTTGTTATATCTCAAAGGGTTTAGGCAGCGTTTTCGTTGAAAGCTCCCAGACGTCTTATTTTTTCCGACACCACCAACAAATATCGTTATCTTTTAGCCAATGTATACAAAAACTTAACAAATTATGTACTAAAACTTTCCTCTTGAATCACTCTATCTATTAAAAAAACCGCATCAAAATCCGATGCGTAGTTTTAAAGATTTAAGCATACATAGGGACAGAGAAAGCGATTTTGTTTTATACTATGTAGTGATAGTGATAATATTCCTAGGATTTGTATAAAATCAGAATATCTTATATATTATTGTTGTTATTGTTAGTTTATTGAATGAAAACAATGACTTTATGCATAATACGTAGTCAAAGCATCTTTAAACAAACAGACAAAGATATTTAAACAATACTGAAAATTGTGCTATAACGGAATAAATCCATACGAGTATTACACCACCACACTAATATTATAAATATGTAAAGTTTTTATCCCGGAAATCATCCTTGAATGGGGTGAAAATGGGGATGAAAGTTTTTATAGGGAATCAAGCTAGGGACAAACCCGAGCGAAGCGAGGGTGAGTCACTAGCATATTTATAAACTTCCCGTATTGTTTTTATATGGCCGTTTCAAATACTAGACCAGGGTAGAAGCCTTTAAAAATAATAAAAAGTGAAAAAAATAATAGTAGGATGCAACCCATTAGAAAAGGAGGGGAATATTATAAAAATGAAAGGAAAAATAATTTACGGGCGATCTGAGGTCGGGAAATTTATATATTTATACATAAAAAATATGTATAGTATAGATTTTTAATATATTTATAATATATTTTTTATACATTTTGACATTTATTTCTTTAATATTTTTTTTTCATGGGGGTATACTCACGATAAAATAGTGAAGGAATTATTAATTCGATTTTGTCTTTTCAGATTATCAGTATGGATGAATCTGTTTGTATCATCTGCAATAAGGCAAATGATAAGCAAGTGTATGAAATAAAAAAGGTATTTTGTTTTTTTCATTTTCTCAGAAGATTTACTATAGTAACATATATTTTTTTCACCATCGGAAAGTAGACATTTCAACGAACAGAAAATATACCAACTTTTTGAAAAAAGCTGATATTTTGACGGGTGAATTTTCGATTGAAAATTAGGGTGTTTTTTCGATATTAATTCAAAATATGGTGAAAAAATAAATATTTTTAATCAAATAAATTACAGCGTATTTGGGACATAAAAAGGTAAGTTTTCACCAAATTTCCTTAAAACAAAAACATTTTTGTAAAAGATAAAAATAAAAAACCAAAAACTTGGTTTTTTGAATTTTTCACATAAATTTTGAGGTTATGTGAAAAAAGTGTAAATACAAAAGTTTTAGATATTTTTATTACCTATAACTTTGCCATTTATTTTTTTTCGATAGGACTTTTAGTTTTGCCGGAAATCGAGAAAAACCGTTTTTTACCCTTAAAAGCTCCCCCCCACCCCCTTCCGACCTCAGATCGCCCGTAAATTATTTTTCCTTTCATTTTTATAATATTCCCCTCCTTTTCTAATGGGTTACATCCTACTATTATTTTTTTTGGTTTCAAAAATTATCGACTCTGGTCTATACCATGAAATACTGATTACAAATTACTTTATATCTATTTTCGTATGAAAGTACTTTGAAACGTAAACAATATAATTGACTTACATTTGTATAATATTATGTATAAAATATTATTTTGTTCAAAAATGCAGATTTAATATGAACGAGTATTTATTTTATGTATTAACGTGTTGCTAAAGTTGCAATTAAGTTAAATACATTGTATCTTAATTAAACTGGACCTACTAAGTATAGTATGTATTATATCATCTGTGCTACTATCAAAAGATCTGTCTGGCCATTAAAAAAATAAAAAGATTTTTTTTAAATAAAAAAATACATAACATCATGTTTTAATATAATTTTGACAACAATAATTTTATTATGTGCAAATAGATATTTAAGAGTAATGTACTTATGTGTTTTACTCGTACATATTATAAAATAGAGTCTCACGCTGCATTTGTCCGTCTGTGTGTCTGTCTCTCTGTATGAACGCGATAAACACAAAAACTACCGAACGGATTTCAATATGATTTTCACCAATAGACGAAGTGATTCACGAGGAAGGTTTAGATGTATAGTTCATTAAGGTTATATGTAAACTGCCTGACATATTAATATGACGATGATTGTTTAAGATGTCGGAAAAAATATGCCAACTGGGAGTTTTATTGGCGTGCGCTGTGTAAACCAATAAAGCTATATAAAAACTATGTATTACAGAAGTATTGTTCTTAAAAAGATTTATTAAACCTTAGCAACGCTACATGTACATACACACCTGAGCGAAGCTAAGGTATGTATATTATACAATACGTTAATAATTGTGATTTTCTTTTCTTAAAAACTTACCAAGGCAGAAACATACTGAGTGCACACGAGAGATCTAAGGGCAGCAAAGACTGCGAAGAGCGGGCCACATTTACCCGCGCGTTGGCTAGCCGCGTCCAGCACGTGGGTGCGCCATCCCGCAGTATGCGAGATCAAGCGAGATATAAACGTCGATACTTTCTGTAAAATATTTGTTACTTACAAGTATTATATTATAAAGTACCAGCAATACTAGCATTTGCCCGCGGCTTTCCGCGTAATTAAGCAATAACGGGTTTGAACACGAATTTCCAACCCCTTTTTAAAACTTTAGGGGTCAAATTCCAAAAATCATTATTTAGCGAACTTACTCCTTATGAGGAATCTACCTGATAATTAATTTCAAGTTTGAAGCATTTATATTTTCCGAGATTTCGCGGTTTTATGTAGGTATATATATATAAAGTAAAATAGTAACTATGTGTTCTACTTCTGATTTTAATCGATTGGGATACATGAATAATATGAACATCAGTGTTAATGAACCTTATCTTACTTATATTTCAGTATGTGTAAATTCGTTACTGATTGTTTTCTAAATTTTATTCCAAAACGGCATGAAAGATTTTCATGATTCTTCTTCTACAGTAATGGGATCACATGGATCGTTCTTAGCCATACTTGGACCTGATAGTTGGCGCTGTTGCCCAGATCCATAATTTTATTTTTATATTCCCACATTTTTTAATACGGTGGCCGGACATCCTTTCAGTGCCGTTTCCGCTAATATTTTAATAATATAATAAAAGCACGACCGAATTAAGAAGTCATAACTTAAATAATTAAAAATTATTACAAAGGTAGCCTTTACTACTTATACTGTACCAACATCTTAGACCAATAAAAGCCTTCAAATCTGACTTCTATATCAGTATTAAAAAGGACACAAGAATATAATACGTTTAAATTAGGTCAAATATTTCGGTGGCAAGAAAGAGCATTTACTTAAGAATACAATAATTTTTTAAGCTTTTTTTGCTCTCCTTAAAGTTTTTATATTATTTGCTAGCAAGTTACGAATATTTTACAAACCAATCCTAAACACTCAATCTATTTGTAAATCGAGTGACCTAATAATCATGTTAATGTTAAAGATAGTCAATTCAACATTGTTTGGCATACTGTATAGCCAGGTATATAGAATCTTAGCTTAAATGAAAGCTTTAAAGTGTAGTCTATATTTTTGGCAGTAATAGCCCAGTGCCTTAAAGGAAGGCAAGTGGTAATCGTGTTAGGAAGGAAAACATCGTGAGGAAATCTGCATGTTTGAGAGAACCTAACAAGTTTTCGAAAGACAAGTGAAGTCCGCCAACCCGCACTTGGCCAGCGTGGTGGACTATGGCCTGATCCCCCTTGTATTGAAGGGAGGCCCGTGCCCAGCAGTGGGACGTCAAAAGGGCTGAATACAAGTGTTTTTATAATAAGTAAGTTTCAGTACATAAATTTTAAAGTAAATAGTTTTATATACAGATATGTATGTACAATGTACATACATATAATTTATGATATTATATGTTTTATATTTTGGTTACAAATTAATTTCTCCTTTTCCATTCAAATTATCCTTTCCCAAAAAGTTTTATTAAAACGTATTTAATGATTACGATTTTCTAGGCTATAACTATAATATGTTGACGACACGTTTGGCTCAGTTTGTAGTGACCCTACTTGCTGCGCCAGCGGTCGCGGGTTCGAGTCCCGCTGGGGGCATTCATTTGTGTGCTGAGCACGAACGTTTGTACTCCAGTCATGGGTGTTTATATTTATAATATGTATGTATTTAAAAGTTATATATGTATAATGTATCAAATATCTGGTATCCATAACACAAGCCTAGCTTACCATGGAACTAGATGGTGTTGTGTGTTAATGTCCTGACATATTTATTTATTTATTTATTTATAGTTGAAATGTTTTGAAACATAATATTTTTGAAACATAATGTAATAGAAATAATATCAAAAATCATTATAATTTTTAGATTTTATCAAAATTTGGCGGATTAAAAATCGAAATTCAAAATAAAAAAATATCAGGCCAAACTGAGTATCTTTTATCATTATATATAATAGTCAATTATAAATAAACTAAGTTATAAAAAATCAGACTGTGTAAAAAGCGAACTAAAGAGATAGGAACAAATTGACGAAGGAACATAGTATTATGCAGTCAGTTATACTCTTACATATTATATTCTTGTTGCGAGTGTTGCTACGACATTCATACATAGTATGTACATAAATACAGACCACACACATAACCTTCCTTTGGGTTTCGCTGCAGTCGGGTAAAAATCATACCGTTATACTCAAAACTCAAAAACCGGTAAACTCAAAAACGGCTGGAGTGATTTGAACAATTCTTTTTTGTTTTGTTCGGTATCAGGGGTGGTTTAAAAATTAAAAGAAATAGGGAAAATCCGAAAAAAACTGCTGGAAATTCGAAAAGTTTAGAGATGTTTATTGTGTATGGGAATCACTAACCGCTAAAATGTACCTACTCGTAGCCAAGAACCCAGGCAAAGCGATGGTGAGTCGCTAGTACAATATATAAATCAATTTCTTAATAGCATTTTTCAGATACAAAATATAATGTGACAGGATGTATGTAGCACAAGCATCTAATATTTTAAGGAATTACTATAAGAAATATGAAAGGCGTATTAAGTATAGCGCCTGCTTCTTTGAAATTATACTTTCACGTAGAACTAAATAAAGTACGAAAACGAACAGGCTCGTTAAAATTAACTGAGGCATATTTTCTATTTTATTAAAATAATTCTATTAAAAATTTTAATAATTATATTATACAAACAAATCGATATTTAAATATAATGTTATCATAGTCTTCTCTTCAGTCGATAAAAATAATTTTTAAGAACTACTTTAACGTTTAACTATCTTATAAGAATTCATAATATATGGAATATTTTATACAAGAAAAACTTAATTATAGTCGGTTCATCCGTTTGGGAGTTACGAAGTTACACACATACACAGATAAGCACACACTTATAACACCCTCTTTTTGCGTTGGTGGTCAATAATGAATATTAGAATTTTGGAAGTTATATTATTGTACTTTTTAAAATCTATATATTTCTTTTCTTACTTACACACTACTTCATTATACAAAAATTTAAAAGTTTCTAAGGAGCTTAACTCATACTCATTAAATAACAAGCTCAAAAAGTATTAAAATTAGAGTAGCTTTATTTTAATATGTAACAGAATATAACATTTCTATGAATATTAAAATTAAAAGTCATAGTGGTGGCAAATAATGGTGGCCACGTTGCTATCTAATTGCTTTGTTCTTTGTGTTTTGTGGTCTAGACGTGACTGAATAAAATGCCAAAAAGCTTAATTAAAACATACTTTAGGGCAGTGTCACGAATTGTATGTAATATACTCGTATAAGCTAAAAAATTATAATTTTCCAATTTATATACTACTTACTAAGTACATTCCTTATATAGAACAGTAAGTAAATATGAGATAAATAAATAAATATGTTGGGACATTAACACACTGCACCATCTATTTCCATGTTAAGCTACAAGGCTTGAGTTGTGGACACCAGATAGTTACACTACACATAATATGTATACATAACTTACATACACACATATTATAAATATATAGACTTATGACGAGTACAAAATATTCGTGCTCATCACCAAATGAATCCCCCCAGCGGGACTCGAATTCGCGACCGCTGGTACAGCAAGTAGGGTATACTACAAATTGAGTCAAATAAAATTTAATTATATATTAATTAACTCTAAAAAAAATTTAACTTACTTAGGTCCAATTATGAAAAACAATTCTAAAACTTCATTTCGAACTTATTATCGACTACGAAATTAGTTTTCTACAACTTTGCTTTAGTTCATAAAAGTTATATTCATAATTGAAAATCAACAGGTAAGTTAAAGTATACGGAGTTATATATACTATAGTATAAGAAATTGATTGATTATGTATTTTATTTATCGACTAAATCTATACTAATATAATAAAGAGGTAAAAGTGAGATTGTGAGTTTGCGACGGTACACCGTTACCCCCTACAGGGGGTAATCTCTGGACCTACTGAACCGATTCAGATGAAATTTGGTAAGAAGATAGTTTGAGATCCTGGGAAGGACATAAGATAATTTTTATCCCGTAAATCATCCAAAGTAGTAAAGGGAGGGAGTAGTAGTAAAGGGGGTGAAAGTTTGTATTGGGAAGCAGGTAGGGACGTACCCGAGCGAAGCGAGGGTGAGTCGCTAGTAATTATATAAACGAAGTATGTATGTTGTATTAATATATTTTGCTGATAAACGTCAACGTAATTATTGTTTTGTTAATTTATTTAAATTTATTATACTGTTCAATTCCGTACCTTTTAGCTAATTAAGTTGGTGGGTTCTATTTTTATATATGGCAAATTTTCATAATATTTGCACTAATTGTTGTGTAATTCATAAAATTGTGACTGAGTCGAATGCATACATTAAATATATTTTGAAAAAACTTATTAAAATAGTCATTATTTTAGAAGTAGTTTTTAGAATTTTTGTCCGTCTGTCTAGGAACGCATCACGAGAAAACCACTGGACAGATTTTGATGTTTGGTATGATAATAGCTGGCTATCCGAATCATATTTTATAGGATACTTTTTACTGCGGGAAAATATCTCATCTTTGAGAAATTTATTAGGTAAATTATTAGGAAATCTATTATAGTAATCATCAAAACGTATCTAGGGACGACCCAGAACGGAGCGAGGGCGAGTCGCTAGTTTATATACAAGGTTGCTCATTTAATATTGTAACATTTATTAAGTGGCCTATCACAAAATGTACTGCGTTCTATGGTATAGAGTTCAAGCGGCCGACGCATCGCTGTTTCTTGCATTTTCTGCAGTTGTACCTTATTACTTCTATGTAAAAAACCTGTAATAAATTGTTTAAAAAAATAGTATGTAATTACGTTACTTTTGAAATGTTGTATATTCTGGTATATATTTTACTTAATAATATGAATGTTGTAAGGATATATTTACAGCTAATTCTAAACGTTTTTAATATTTTTAAAGATTTTGAAAAGTTTTTTTTTTGCAGAAATCCAATACATATTTTCAAATTCCGATGCCGCTATAAATTCAACCACTATATAGGAGATATTATTATAGATTTTTCATTTCGTCTGCTTAGTCTATCCATTTATTATTGCAATCCATGAGCTTGAAAAAGTGCCGTCGCGCATTTTATTAAAAACTTGCTTCTGAATTTTGATTGTATTTCAATTAATAATGAAAATTTGCGAAAAGCGAGCCCGCTATGAACTATATTAATAGCTTTTCTTTACCATGCAATAAGTCAAAATTGTCGAAGAGTTGCAGTTTCTCTGAATAAGAACGTCAAAGATGGGCATTATATTGAAAAATCACGGTCATAATGTAAAAGGCATCTTAAGGAAGATATTAAATCACGAACTACGTACGAATGCGGATTAATTCTACAAAAGTAAAAGACGCGAGGGTAGCCACAAAAAACGCTTTTCTTATTCTATCAGAAACCTTGTTACCTTTTGAGCAATGACCTCTCCCTGGTTGTCGATATAGAACTGTGCAGTGTGAATGTGACTTAAGGAGATATTTAATTTTCTCCTGAAAGGCATCATTTGAAGTTCTAGCTCCGTCAACTTGAAGACTAGTTCCGTCCTCAGCTGTTCGAGCGGCTTAATGTTGGATTGATGCAGTCGTCGGGTTCTTGTTGCTATAAATTAAAAATATTTCATAGGTATTTAATTTTATTAAGGCAGTGGTAGCCCAGTGGAAACGCGTTTGCTTGGGAAACTGATTGAAGCGGGTTCAAATCCCGGGTCTGGTACCTCTGATATGCATTTTCAACGTGATTAATGTCGTACATGGTTTTAAGTGAGTAAATCACTATTCAAAGTGAATTTCTTCACCCGAGAAGTAAAAAGCAGCATAAAAAGACTAAGGCAATTATTTCAGATGAAGGATAAAGGCTATTTCAGAAAAACTTTTAAAACATAGTTGATTTAAATGTACTAAAGTAAAATTAAACCAATGATCTAGCTCTACTTTCGCAATAAACTTTTATTATTTTAATATACAAGTTAGCTATCCTATAAAGATATGAACATTTTATTAGCTTCGACGTGCAAAAGTATTTTATGTTCAAGTTTATATTAGCCGCTTTTCAGAGAAGCTCTTAACCGAGTTTCAGAAAAAATATGTCACACAGATTATAATAAAAAGCAAAATCACCTCGAAGTTTTAATTAAAATATCAACGTGACTATCGGAGCATTGGAATATTATTTTTTTCATTTTTAGTGTTTCGTTTGGTAAAGACAATACAGAAACCTTATAGTTTTACCTTACGAGTATCTATGGGTCGATCTCTTTATATTTTACTCAAAATCTATTGGATTATGATTAAAACCTAGTAGATTGGTCATTGTCTTAAAGCTTAATTGTTCAAACTACCAATATTTGTTGTATTTTACAATAGACAGTTTTTTTTCCTTTGTTTTAAAAACAACACTTTATACTGATAGTCAAGTATAGATAATATATATTATTTCGCCTTGTGAGCCTCGCCTTTTAAGTAAAATGTGTATTTTATAATAGAATTAATATTTAGAAGTCAAAAGGTTTTTAATAAAATCTGTATTCAAAATAAAGTCTTTCGGTAAATTGGTAGTTTGGACAAATATGTAGGTACTGTACGATAAGGTGTTTCATGTGCCATACATTGATGAAATCAAATGAAAAAAAATATTTGGGTATCATTCCATACTGGCACATAACGTGGCATATTTTTAAAAAGGTTTTACAATATGAAGTCGTTTTTTTATTATGTATACATATAAACCTAATTGGGGAATTATGTACCGTCTTCCACCTTCTCTGTCGTTTCAGGAACCTCTAAAATACTTTTCTAATTCGAAAGATATGGTGATGTAAATTTTGAAATATATTCACTACATTTCAGATTATTTACCTTGTTTTTGAGAATGTCTTAAAAACATGACTTTGGTTTTCATAGTGCCTTGAAAAAAAACCACATATATAAACTTAATTTTGCATATTATATGTATGCTAATGTATTTATGTAGTTTTAAAAGGTTAGAATATTTAAATAAGCAGAGTTCCACATACTGGTATGGGGTAACTAGTCTCTGGATAATAATTGAAACCAGACAGTACAGTAATATAATGTGTAGTAGTACAGAGCCTTTGGTCCAAATGAGACTCGTATTTGCCGATTATTATTAAAATTTTTAGCACTTAAATTGTACTAGACAAAGGTGCAGAAAGTTTGTCCACTTTTGGGTCATGTACCCTTTTACAAAAGTTTTATCGTCCGTTCTGTCCTTTTGAACTATCCTACTACTAAGAGAAAGTACACTTTAAACTGTAATAATAGCAACCGGTTATTCTAAAGTTTAAAGCTAAAAAAATGCAGATGTTACTTAAGTATAATTTACAAAAAGTATTAATATTTGCTATATAATTAGTTTATTTTATGCTTGGATTAGCCGCCTTTCAGTAAAGCTCTTCACTGAGATTGGGGAAAAATGTTTATAAAGGAAAAGGCGTTCTGTAACTTCAAGTTTCTTCTCAAGACGTTAAGGGTCTCTATATTGGATAAGATTGCTATGTATTACGGTCTTGTATTATTCTACGTAGGTGTGTATTATTTTTTAAATTGTCTTTTAATCAGAATTTTTGTTAAATTATGATTTTTTTTAATATTTAGTGACTCAACTACAACCCGTTTAATCTCAATAGCATGCGTACCGATAAAAGTTAGTTATTCATTTTTTGTTATTCGTCGAGGCTTAAAGAATTAAATTAAAATTAATGTATTTTTTTTTATATTTTTAGTGTTATTAAGAAACCAATTTTAAGAATTATATATTATATAACATTTTTAGTGTTATTTAAAAACCAAAAAAAAATGGTATAATCTTACATTGCAGTTTTTGTATTTTTTCTCAGAAATGAGACATTTTTCCGCGGTAAAAAGTATCCTATATTATGTTGACCCGGATAACCAACTACCACCATACCAAATTTCATCAAAATCCCTCCAGTAGTTTTTCTGTGATCCGGTAACAGACAGACAGACAGACAGACAAAAATTCTAAAAACTATAGATTCGGCCTCTGTATCGATAATAATGTTTATTTCAATAAGATTTTCCAAAAAATATTTAATGTGTAGATTCGGCTTAGTTAAAATTTTATTATATGTATAGATTGCATTTCTCTTATAACGCTAAATTCAAGAAATTTTATTTTAAAATAAACACAAATTGGCTAAATAAGTGTATCTAAATATGTTATAATCGTTCTTACTGTTGGTACAACTCTCATACACAGATTGTTTTATATTAATGACTTGGCTCTTGCTTTATCATGACGAGACGACTAAGATCTGTACAAATTCAATCTTTGCTCTACACACAACATTTCGTAGATAAACAACTTACAGCTCTAGCTTTCGCCTTACACATTATTTAATAGCACTACGTATTTTATAACACTGTAATTTTCAATTAATAGCTGAAGTGAAATGTACAGTAGTAAATTTTTATATTATTTGCCAATTATTTGATTTTATTAACAGGCGGTGAAAAACTACAAATAATTAAATATTAAAAAAACATAATTTAACAAAAATCTGATCAAAAGAGTATTTTAAAAATTATACATAACTACGTAGAACTTACGGATTAGAATCAGCTTCACTCGGTTTCCCAAGCGAGCGCGTTACCACTGGGCTACCAGTGCCTTACAACTAATTAAAATGATTACTACTACAACTTATTGAAAACGTCGGGAACCATAGATCAAAGTAGATCCGCGAAAAAATCCGAAAAGATAGTTGTATTTTAAAAATCACATACCTAATGTTTCTAACCTGCCAGCAGTACTTGAGTCCGTTACTTGAGCGGCGACATTTTCCAATTGATCCACAAAAGATGGCAGATCTTTTCCGACTACTGGACCATTGTATTCCATTCTAAAAATGGATATATATATATATATATATATATATATAAATAAAAAAAACTGACTGTTTTATATAATAAAATTATTAAAATAGAAAGGCTTTTAAAATATATATTTATAATATTAGTAGTGTAAATATTCAAATCTAAAAAATCTAAAAACTAAAAACTAAATACGTTAACGTTAAAATAAAAACTAAATCTAAAAACGTTAGCAAAAATAGTATGTAATATGTAGTATGTTAATAATTATTATTAGTAGATAATAGATATTATTTGTCATAATTATTGGCATTATAATACTTTATAAAACAAAGCCGTATCTCATGGTACGGGTTAGGATGTCTTTTTAGGGTTATGTAACCTAAAAGCTATATTTCTTAGTACTTTCCATCATATATTTTTTCGAAATCATCTAAATTACTCTAGTGACAGTTTTTTACGGTCTGGGCTATTTCTAACTTTTCCACATGAAAAAGTTACGAAAGTGCATATTTTCTCGATTCTTTCTATTAGAGTAGTTAGATAAAATTCACCTTATTATAATACTTTCTTAGATTTACGCGAATATGTCAAATAAAATATAAAATTTATTTAAAATGTTTACCTTATTATTTAATCCCCTTGCTTTGTATTGATATAGGGATAAAAAAACTATTTGGAAAGAGTTCACCATGATTTTTCTGCGCAAATTAAACTAATTTTAAAACATAACCGTAAATGTTCGTTTTGCCGTAAATATACTGATAGAGTCGATATATATATACATATTTTTTATTCGAAAAATGTAGCCCAATAAGTAAAAAAGTCATTAGATGGTTTATAATATCGCACAAAATACTTTATAGAGTGAAGATATCACATGATATTCTCCTAAACAGTAAGTAAAAAAAAAAGTTTAAACCTCAACGACCGCGGACACACCGGCGTGTCAGTTAACAATATATTTCTTAGAATTTTAATTAATTTCTTAGACATTTACCTGGAGGTGTTAAGGTCGAACATCTTACCTGTATCTCGTTAAATTGACGTCAGACACAACAAGTATTCTATTCAGAAACTTATTGAAGCTGTCTGATATTGTTTTTAGAAAGCCAACGTCAATGGTCGTCGACAGTCTCTTCAAGTCGTCTTGTAACTCATCCCATTCAAAATAAGACGTTTCTTTGTTAACATCTAATATTTTGTCCAGCTGGAACACGATGTATGCCGGCTCGTTCCTTTGACATTCTCTGTATCAAAAATGTTACACGATGTATGTAAATAATAATAATCAGACAATTAATGCAAAAACCATCTTAAGAGTATTCTGCCCTTTTTGACGTCCCACTGCTGGGCACGGGCCTTCCTTCAATACGAGGGGCAAAAAACATATATATATATATATATATATATATATATATATATATATATATGTATATATATATATATTAATCTAAATTTCTTTATACTTAATGTAAAAATGAACAAGCATTTATTGCTTTTGTATCCATAAACAAAGTATTTCCAAAGTAATTCCATACAATCCTATGATATACTTCATAACATAAAATAACGTACTTAACTTTATTCTGAAAACCAAACTTTTATAACCACAATATTAAGTGTACTTAAAATGAAAAGTCTCAATACTTTTTAAGATATGACGCAAATATTTGATTAGAATATTCTTTTATATAATATATTTTGTGTTCAAAAAATTTCCCTCGAGTCTATAAAAGCTTTTTGTTGTATCAATAACTCACTTTCACATATTAATGTATTGCTTTATACAAAAATGACATGTTACCTTAAAACATCTTTGACAGGCACTTCGATTGTTACATTGTGTAGATCTTTGAACAAAACGTCGAAAATTCCTTCGTTATCTGATAATAAGGGCGATGGTCTGTCTAAAAGCATCGACAAACCGTTATACTGTTTTGAATCCCATAAAATTTGGCAAACGTAAATCTGAAATGTATAAATAAAAAATTTAAAAGCTTTTTAAATGGTAATTTGGGAAAAACAATATACACTAATTGGATACTTATATTATATTTCAATAGTTATGTTATATTTTGATAATTTTAACATCAAAACAGATTTGCCTACAAACCCTTCTTCAAATCAAATCTCAAACAAACTTCCTGAATTTTAATTCAAACTTCCTGAAATTAAAGCTATACTATAAAAAAGACTATTAAAATTAAATTGCTAACAAACAACAAGTAGGCGTTAAATAGTTAAATAAGTGTAGATTTGAAAAAAAGCTTCATATTTAATATATTACCATAAATACCTCATATATTATCTTATACTTTTAAAACATGCATTTTAATGATTTTTAATATGAATGTTTTAGAATTGTATAAAATTTCTTTATTCCCTTGGTGGTGTGAAAATATTTTTAGTGTGCAATTTTTATCAAGCAAAATATATTGTTTTTGTCCGTTAGAATAAAGATTTAACGATTCATTTGGTTCTATCGACCTTGATAACGTCACTAGAGGATTGTCATCCCGTGAACGAATGAATGAGCGACAATATTTACTCTTTAACGTAAGATAGCTTAAAAATTTTATACAGCGTTATTGATTTTAAAATTATTTAATTTAGAGAAGAAGTTGGCTATTTCGTATTTTACTAAATAATGGCTGGATATTTCTATTGTACTTGTATTAGTCTTAATAAAACAACGCTAAGTTTCATTTTAATTGATGTTAATCGAGTGTTATACTTGGTAGTTGTGGATTAAATTAAATTACATGCTGAACTGAATACTAGGTGATATAATGTATTTCGTTTACATACATTATTTGGCCGTATCATATAGAAAAAGACTCGTCCGTTGTTTTGTCGTAAGAAAGAGGGATAAGCTAACACTTTCACATCTATGACTATAATACTAAGAATTATACTATTCCTTATAATAGCTCTGAATACAAACGCACAATATAACTTTATTTTCCAGAATAAACTTGCTCGTAATATATTTAATACGTAAATATTACAAGCACTTCAGTCTATATTTACTGAGCGAAATAAAACGACGTTTTCATATTATACATAATTAATATAATAACAAAGAGTTTCGGTGATATATTACGAATATATTATTGCTTATTAAGTAATACATATTGAATTATAAAATATATGTACTATAAATAGTCCAAGAAAAAAACAGATCAACACCTTTTTCCCCTGTGTTTGTCAACCGATTTTCTTTTTTTTTTCTTTCCTAGTTATTGACGAGATTTAGTATTACTAATTGAAAGAAATTAAAAACCGTTAATTGGTTTTATATAAAGACTGTGTATATATTATTATGTTCGGCTTTCCACCACAGAACACTTGTATTAAATAAAAATGTACTTTTATATTTATTATTTGTGTACCCCCGAATCCGTAATATATTATGCCTTTTATATATATATTTTTAATAAGTTTGCCCTTAATTTGCTTTAGTTGTAAAATTATGTTAGCTGTCGTCTTCTACCTATGGACTATTGACCTGTCAAATTTTAATTTAATTTTTCATGGACGTATTGGACTAAGATTCGACTGCAAGATTGATACGTTCATAGCGTATTTAATCAAAATCATTTTTTTATATACAATAATAAAAGGGACAATATGTTTTGACCGGAGTGCCTATTAAAATGTGCCAGCTAGCACGTTTAATTAAATTAATAATAATTGACTTTTTGGAGCAAAATCTATGCATTTGTTATTAAAATGAATGGCCATTTTTACATAGGCAGAGGTATTTTATTATGTATAAAAAATAGCTTTAATTTGATATATAAATGATGAATATATGTCATGAACGTATAAATTTCACTAATCACGCTTGATCGAAAAATTTACCTGTATTTCTTTACCGGCAATTCTAAGATTACTGCAGTCTATGTACATACATACAATAATACTTCAACGGTATTCTAGCTTTATCTATTTTTATAGAGGTTATACTTTAAAAGTATTATTACTGAACGCATGACCATTCAAAATCAAAGATAATATGATGGTGAGAAGACAGCCTGAGCTTGCAACATGCTCAATTTTAAAATAGAGTCAAGTTTAAGTTTGATTCTGTACTTAATTAAAAAATATATACTAATGTAATTAATATCATTTAGTAAAAGTTTATGAACCTTCAATGTTTTTTTTTAATTCAATCACGTTCAAACGGTTAAACGGATTTGTTTGAAACTTGGTACACAGTCTAGACTAACACAGTAATACTGTGATGATGTTCTCCTAGCCGATTCCGGCTACGGCGGCTAATCTCATTGAGACTAGCCAACTGAACAGGAGATAATAAAGTGCACAAGTTTACGCGCAGACACAACGTGCACTCTCTCTTCCTGTCACTCTCATACTCTGGTGGGACGACCACTCGACACGACCAGTGAGAGTTAAGGTGCAGGATCGACGGCTTTACGTGCTCTCCGAGGCACGGGGGTGAAACACCGCCAACTTCCCAATTCCGGGCTGCTACTGAGACTTAGTATACAGAAAGACTAAATAACTAAGCTTGGCCCGACCCGGGACTCGAACGCAGGACCTCCGAGTGTGCAGCCATACATGCTAGCCGCTACACCACCGAGGCAGTTAAATACTGTAATCTAGTATCGTCTACAGTTACTATATAAATAATTCAGTTAAGTTCTACCTTAAATTACGTTTAGACACTTAAAAAGCACTTTTGAATATACTTTAAAAACACTTTTGTTCTAAGCCTGTCAATAGATGGCGCTGCTAAGAACGTTGAAGGAAACAAGAAAAAACTGAGATACCATCAACATAAAAACTTACAACCTTTACATCTTTATAATATTAGAACAGATAAGAAGTGTTAAATATTTCATATATCCTACCTCTGCATGTCCAGCGATGAGAAAAGTAGCAGAAACCACAGTCCATAAAATAATAGAGAAAATACAAATGCAGAAAGAGGATCTAAAAATTATTAATATTTAAAAGTAAAAATAATATAGTAAATGCAATACGGAATATGCCAGTTTTATTCATATTTTACGTTTTTTCTCACGATATAACCGAGAGTGTTCTCTGATTATTATTTTTTTCAGTCAGTAGCATTGTAGCGTGAGTATCTTGATATAGTATAATACTCTATACATACATAAGATTTTATAAATAAACAACATCTTGTGAGAATCGAACCCACTATTCTCAGCGTACTTGTTATGCCCATATTCCACTGTACAACAGCGATCGTTATCTCTAATATATCTACATCTATTATTTATTCAATTGTATTTTAAATATATTATATCGCCCTAAAAGTTCAAAATAATTTAAATAAAATCTTATTATATCTTGTATTTATAACCTCACATTTACATGTAATGATGTGAATGTTTTGTGATACTCACACTTGTAATGTCCTTTTCGCATGTATTTTAGCGTTTCCGCATCCGCAAAACATCGCAAATAAAATGAGTATCATCACGAAACTGAGGATTGCATTACACCCTGTAAATAATAAGATTACATTTTCTACATATATTTTTTATACTATTCTGAATTAGTGTTTGAATATGTTCCACCTGTTGGTAAGTGGTAACGCAGTCGTAGATGTTTGTTAGCTGTTTACATGATTTTTTTAGGTATATATTGTAAGTATTGAGTACTTATTAACTTTACAACAATTTCAACTAGTAAATTAACATATTTTATTATGGTATTGGACGTAAGCATCATATTAAAAAGTAGTTATAAGATATGTATATTGTATATGAGATGTTAATGACAAAGATTTTATATCACTGAATATTTATTGTAATTAAGAGTTAAAATATTAACTTCAGTATCTACCCGAAAGAATTGTCATCCACCAGACTAATGGTAGGAAAATTATCATCATTTAGAAGAAAAGAATTCAAAAGTCGTTTTAAATAAAGTTGAATATTTACATAATTGATGTTTAAACTTTAAACGAAAATTGGGTATTATATCAGAGTAGAGGCTATTTTATTTTTTTCCTGGAATTCAAATTATCTTAATATCGAAGTTGGTTGTATAAAAATATAACAAATCAGGTGTGGTAATTTATTTATATTAATATGTATATTATATAAAACTTTGTGGCCTTATGTTAGTAAATAACTTAAGTCCGATTCGCCATGTCTGGCACTTTGTCTGGCACTTAATTAGTAATTGTAACTATTTGTGTGTTTTTATATACTCCAATCAATTTATGACAAAGGCGGGTAAAAAATCAGCACATGTTATTTATTTATAACCTTTCGACTCGCAACAATTTCTATTGCAAAAGATTTTTCATCATATTTTTTATTTATATACCCACATATATTATGTACATTCCTGACCGAAAAACTTCCCATATCCTTCAGCAATCGCATAATAAGGAGGGGAAATATGTATAAACAAAAATATCAGGAAAACCTACTCAAAAGAAATTATATGTATATAAGAAATATGGACAAATCAAATCAATGAATAATTTATTAAACTAAAAAACAATTGGTACATTGAATGTTTATATATTAGTAATAAACTAGATTGAGAAGAGTATTTTACTTTATATAATAAATATTAATAAAATGTCTGTAAAGCATTTATTTATATAAAGATAAATGAAGAGTCACCTGTCAGCGTTTAGGGTGACTTTGATATATACCATATAGGTTCAAATTGAAATGGGTTGTTGGTATCCTTTATAATAATATAACGGACAGAACAGAATCGTTAGTTCAAAAACGTAGTTTATTTTCAAAAAACATTTTTTTTTCTTAATAGAAAATTTAAATATATAACTTGATAATAATAATCTATACAGGTAAATAAAATTGAAGTGTATTTTTGTAATGTCAAAATAACAGGTTTTTATTAAATGCATGTGAAATTATACACAGTACTTGTAAGAAAAACACAATTTTTAATTTTTTTGTGTCTGTCTGTGGTTCCGGCTAATGTCCAAAACGACTGAACTGATTTTGATGGGATTTCACTGGCAGATAACTGATGTTATAAGGAGTAACTCAGGCTATTTTTATTTTAGAAAAAAATAGGTTTCCGCTCAAACAAATTAAAATTTACCTAGCGACGCATCCGAGCGAAGCGAAGGTAAGTTGCTAGTTTGAAATAAAAATAAAGCGTATCCGTGTCATATATCAGTGGTTAATTAAAAGTTAATTAAAAGTGGTTTTTTAATTAATCACTGAGTGCCTTATCGGTGGACACTAGCTTTTTTATTCGAAGTTTATTTGCTACGTTTGCTTGATTTATTAAATAGAGCTTCAGCTACTGAGATTATTTACAGATGAAACCCATCTATCTCTCTCTAAACTTAAATGTTGAGGTTTTGAATTATTCTCACAATAAATAATATTTATTTAAAAAAAAAAAAAATTAGTGTTATGTTGTTATTAATAATTAAATTATATGAGAATTGTAGTCTACATATAATATATAAATGTTTAAAATTCTTATTATTTTTAAGATTAGAACAGTAATTTATTTTTGCAGATAAACTCTAGTACAAACTTGGGACACTTCCCTCTGAACCTGTGCCGTCTACCTCTCGTTCTGGGGCCGCGGCTGCTGGAGCAAGCGCCAGCGTTGCTGCGCCTTTACCATCTGCTGCACCTGGCGTGGCTCCTGTGGCCGGGACCAGCGGAGCGACTGGTACTCCGCACAGGTTTCCTCGTACAGGGGGGCACACCAGGGGTGGACAAACCCCCAGAGGCAAGAGCCAGCGCCCCCGCAAACAAAAGGGACCCAGACCCAGCAAGGGCAGTGACAAGCGCAATGGGGCCCGTCCCCAGTAGCGCTTCACACCCAACTGGCGACGCCCCCACTAAAATACTCCAAGCCAATCTACACCACGCTATCGCTGCCACAGCCGTGGCAGAAAACACTTTTAGGGCAAATGGCATGGATATAGCGCTGGTCCAGGAACCATGGCTTAACGCCAAGTCCAAGATTTCGGGCTTAAATGGAGTAGGTAAGATCCTAGCAAACGAAAATGGCACCAAGCCTAGGGCCTGTATCGTTTTTAAGAAAGGTATTAATTTCTTGCCTGTTACAGAACTTTGCAGTGATGACACCGTTGCTGCAATCACCGTTCTCAGAGGGCGTGGTCAAACTAGAGCACTTGTGTGCTCGGCCTACCTGCCCGGAGAGAAAGCCAACCCCACCGAAGAACTGTCTAAAGTCGTCGACTACGCTCGAAAACACAAGACAGAACTAATTGTTGGCTGCGATGCAAACGCCCATCACACAATCTGGGGAAGTACTGATACCAACAAAAGAGGTGAGTTACTTTTAGAATTTCTCCTAGCTAACGACCTTCAAATACTTAATAAAGGCTGTAATCCAACCTTCGCTACTAGAGCTAGGCAGGAAGTTCTGGATATCACTTTTGCTACTGAACAAATCGCTAAACACATAAGTAAATGGCATGTCAGTAATGAAAACTCTTTGTCCGATCACAAACATATTGTCTTTAGCATACAAGGCTCAATAACTACTGAGCCTAAAAGGCTTAGAAATCCCAAAGCCACCTCGTGGGTAGATTTTAAAAACCTGCTCGCTGAGGCAGCTAAGGATTTTCCAAAATCAATCAAGACACCCGACTCCCTTAACATTTTAAACAACTTATTAACGGATGGCATCTTAAATGCCTATGAAAATAGCTGTCCTGTCAGGGAACTTAAGGTTAACAACAATACTCCGTGGTGGAACAAAAAGCTAGAACGACTTAGAGTTTCCACACGTCGCTTATTTAATCAGGCCACTACACCGTATGGGTGGGAACGGTATAAGAAGGCTCTGACTAAATACCACAAAGAGATCAGAAAAGCTAAAAGAGCATCTTGGAAACGATTCTGTGAGAATATCGCCCAAACACATAAAGGAGCGAGAATCCACAAGGTCCTTGCCAAGACACCAAACATCTTTCTCGGCTTTTTAAAAAAGCGAGACAATTCCTTCACGACCACAGAGATGGAGACGCTGGAACTTTTAAGAGCGACCCATTTCCCAGGATCGTACCCTGTCACCGGCAGTGAATCAAACCCAAAGGAAAACTACATCCACAGGGCAAATAGTTGCGACTGGAAGATGGCCAATACCATTTTTAGGCCTAACCAGATTAGATGGGCTTTGAAAAAATTCAAACCATTTAAATCAGCAGGGGAAGACGGAATTTTTCCAGCTCTGCTTCAACAGGGCATGGAACTTCTTATCCCGCATCTGGTAAAATTATTTAGAGCAAGCTTTGCTTTGGGCATTATACCAGAACAATGGACTAAGGTCAAGGTTATCTTTATACCGAAGATCGGTAAAAACGACTACTCTCAGCCCAAATCCTTTAGACCTATTAGTCTTACTTCTTTCCTATTAAAAACAATGGAAAAAGTAATCGATCAGCACATTAGAACAAGGTATCTTGTGGCTAGACCACTTTCCTGCAACCAACATGCTTACCAAAAGGGTAAATCCACAGAATCTGCCTTAGTAGCTCTGATCGACAAGGCAGAAAGGTCCCTAGAGGATAAGCAGACAGCTCTATGTGCATTTTTGGACATTGAGGGGGCCTTTGATAACACACCTACGGCAACCATCCTGAAAGGATTAAATGCAAAAGGTGTTGATATCACAACCACCAGATGGGTGGAATATATGCTCTCCAACCGGTGTGCGAAAGTTACGTTAAACGAACACTCGCACAACTTCTACACTACAAGAGGCTGTCCGCAAGGAGGAGTGCTTTCACCCCTATTATGGACACTAGCTGTAGACCTACTACTTGTAATCATGGCAGATCTCGACTACGATACACAGGGCTATGCAGATGACCTTGTTGTAGTAGTAAGAGGTCCCTGCCTGAACACAATTTCCACCAGGTTACAAGGAGCTCTCAATACCATCACAAGATGGTGCAGAGAAAATGAGTTATCAATAAACGCTGATAAAACAGTTATTGTACCATTTACCAGGAAAAGGAAGCTTGAAAGGCTGACCGAACTCAGACTCAATGGCAAAACCCTTAACCTATCAAATGAGGTAAAGTACCTTGGAGTCACTATTGATCAAAAGTTGACCTGGAACTCTCACCTCAACAACATTATACAAAAAGCCAAAATGGCCCTCTGGATATGTTGTCGAATGGCTGGAGCCAAGTGGGGCCTCAAGCCCAAAATGGCTCTCTGGATGTACACCGCCGTGGTAAGGCCGATCATAACATACGCCTCAGTCGTATGGTGTAACAAAACCAAACAAAAGACAACTATGAGTAAACTAGACAGCATACAACGGATGGCATGTCTAATCATCACGGGAGCCTTCCACTCGGCACCAGGCGACGCTTTAAATGCATTGTTGGACATAGCTCCGCTATATCTCCACGTGCAAAAAGAAGCTAAATCTTGCCTCTACAGGCTCTGTACACAATCGAATGTAAAGTTGCAATCGCAATATATGAACAAACTCAAGGAGTTGACATTCGAACACAAAACTCTGAAAATGCCAGTCGATGGCATGAGTACAGAGTTTAACTTCGCAAAACAGTACCAAATAGATCTTCCCAACCGGGACATGTGGCTAAAAAACCAAGAGTCTCACAAAAAGGGCAGTCATGTTTGGTTTACAGATGGATCCAAGAAAGGATCTGATGTAGGGTGCGGCATCTATGGCCTTAAGCCTAGATTTGACATGAGTGTCAATCTGGGCAAGGAGGCCACCATCTTCCAAGCCGAGGTCTTCGCCATCAACAAATGTGCTGAAGTCATCCTGGAGAGGAAGCTTAGAAACCAAAATATCTACATCAACTCAGATAGCCAAGCAGCACTTCTGGCTATAGATTCTCTTGAGACCAACTCTAAGTTGGTCAAAGACTGTATGGATAATCTGAATGTCCTGGGCACATCCAACAGAGTTACCCTCAGATGGGTCCCGGGTCACTCAGGCATAGATGGGAATGAAAAGGCTGATGCATTGGCAAGAAGGGGCGCTGAAACCCCAGATTGTGGCCCAGAACCATTCTGTGGCATTGCAAAACAACATGCCTATTCAATTCTCAAAATTCACTGCAATCGCCAAGCACTTCAAGAGTGGCAATCCACTTCTGGACAAATACACTCTAAAGCGCTAATTAAGGGATATCGCAAAAAGTTTACAAAAGAGTTGCTTCAACTCAACAAGTATAAAACCAGTGCAGTAACCAGAATACTTACTGGTCACTGCAAACTCAATAAACATATGTTTACCCTCGGCCTCAGTCAGACCGCAATGTGCAGACTATGCCATGAGACAGAGGAAACTGCTATGCATATCCTCTGCTCGTGCGGTCCACTCATGCACCGCAGAAGTATCTATCTAGGGCAGCATATTATGCAACCGGAAGAGATACAGATGCTCCCCGCTCAGAAAATCTGGAAGTTCCTGGAGTCAACAGGACTAAGCGGAGAACTTTGAACTCACTATAAAGGGAGCTACAATGGACCAAAACTGGTCGACGTAGCTAGGGCCGACCTCGGCACCACACCCAACATTAATAATAATAAAATAATAATAGTACAAACTTACTTGATTTTAGGTGTATTGTTTTTTCTAATTGGCGTCTCTGGTACATTTAAACAAAATTAAGCAAATTTGATATTAATAATGTTCTACAGTTTTTTATTGATGTGTCATGATTCGTCACATTTATTAATGAGTATGATATGAACAAAGACATGTATGTATACGCATAACATTTCCACAGGCAAACCACTGAATCATCCATGCTAGCAATCTTTATAAAGTTTTGCACACATATTGTGTATTTTGGAAAAATGGTTTTTTCTGTGTGTATTAGATAGAGTGGCTGTAGTGACATTTTAATATATACAATTACTACAAGCTCAACGCATGCATGCAGAACCACCTATCCCCGACGCTTTACTTATGTCAATTGGACCTATATTTACCTATTGCACTCTATAAGCAAATTTAAAATAATAAGATAACATATTCTAAACTTACCTAAAATAATACTCCATCTCCAAAGTTCGTACTTGTGGAATCTGTCCAAGCCGGTGTCCATGTTTCTCACGAGAGTGTGTAACGACACAGACAGGTGTCGCACAATATCGTTTAGTACGCGAGCCGAGTTGTGGACTCTTTGTCTACGGTATTCTATGTCTCGGAGAATTTCTATAAAAACGGTACTTTATTAGGTACTTTAAAAGTAACCGTTTTTTGAGGTTTGACATTGCTTACTCTACATTGTAGGAATTGGTCTCTTTTGATATTGCTGGTTTGATTTTAACTTGAATCAAGTTTTATTTATTGAAAAAACTATTCAGAGGTTGTAGCCCCTAACGGTAATAAATTATAAATAATAGTTAAATATTTATAATAAAAACAATAGCAAATACAATAGTACTACGAGTAGTTGTACTTCTTTACTAATATAAATAATAGTCCTACAAATCTTTTATCAATATTTTACAGCTTATAATCGAGTCGTCCGTAGGTACAGACGAAATTCTACACATTTTATTTTGAAATGTGCATATATTTAAACAAAATGTTAGATAAAACGTAATCTAGTATTTATTTTTTTACAATCATATGCTCTCTGTCTATTGAAATATTATAAAAAAAAATAGTTCTTTATTTTACCGAAGCATACTTTGAGAAAATTAAATTCATGTTACTATAGAAAACTGTCAGCAGTTGTTTGTACATTTATTATTGTATATTAAAACAATCAAGATCAACGAGCGTGTGATGTTTATACTAAACAACCACTCTCACTAACGAGAGAGTTCAAGGTACTGCGGTTTTTTAATCATCTTGAAATTTTCAAGGTGTACAGATCTTCTAAATATTTTTAATTGCATGAATATTATATATAGTATATTTATCTTAATGTATATGTATATACTTATTTTTATATACCTATCATATATGTGTATTATATTTACTACACATCTTTTCGTGTAATACTGTACAAGTACTGTGTAAGATTGTTATAATTTAACCCTATTGTTATACAGAAAAGTAAACTTTATTATGACAATTGATTCTATTGGGGGAAGTTATGACGTATTATGACAGAGATAGATATAATGTACCACAAAAAGATACGGAAAAAGCTTAGTACCTCTTCCTTTTTGAAGTCTGTTGAAAATAAGGTCAATAAACACAAATGTAAATGAATCTACCACAAATTGACAGACAGACAAAATTTATAAAATGCATTAATTCAAAATATATTTTTAAATAATCTACAATCACTTTGGTAATTTTTATTATAAAAATATGTTACAATTTTACATACCAGTTCTAATACGTTCTGTTTGAGAAAATATAGCGGATGGTAGAGTTCGGATTTCTTTTTTAGCTATGAATATCGCTTGAGTAAGGTTTACTACGCCTAAATTTTTTAATTCTAAAAGTTGATGCTCTTGTAGTATCTGCGAAAATATATAAAGTAAACTATATTTTTATATATAATATCAGTCAAAGATTAAAAATTTATTTTTGAGCAACTGTAATGTGTCAAAAGTAAGAATAATTGACGAGTTCCACTATCTACCCCCTGGATTCATAAATCAGGTCCATATTATCGCTAAGTATAAAATCAATACGAGAGTCAGAAATAGGTTGAAAACAAGTTCCAATTTACCTACATTACAAGTAAAGCTAATAAAGGTGTGTATAATGTTTGTATTTAGTAATATTTAGGTAATATTAAGCAATAAGTAGTTAGATTAGGGTTTCCCAACCTTATTTCTGTTAAGCCTCCTTGGATTATAAAAAAACGTGTACTTTTGTACACACGTAATAAGTTATACTTCTTTTAGGCGTAACAGAACAAAAATAGCTAAAGATTTCATCCCGTACGCCACAACTCTCTGTTTATAAAAGAAATGCCGCTAGCTTCATCATGTCGATTTCAGCTAACTTCATCATGTCGCTTATTGGCTGTCGGTGTGTACGAGCATCGTAAAAATTTTACTCTCATAATTTTTTCCAAACGTGCCAAAAGAAGTATAACTTCAAAAATGAAAATTAATAAATTATTTAAAAAAGTCTTAATATAATACCTAAAAAATAACGGAGATTACCACTTACGGAGTCAAATTTCATCATAACATGGAAGGAATTTGTATTAAGTGTATCACACAGAGGAGCATCCTTTACAATACAGTTTCTTTTTAAACTGTCCAATTGTATTGTCAAATCTTTTATTTTATCAGATGTACTAGTTGCTAATAGACCAGCTTTTATGCAGATATCGCGTAGTGAAGAAATTTTTGTAGACAAATCCTCGCTTTCTAAAACGAAATAGCAAAATAAATTTATACTAGTGACTTACTCTTGCTTCGCTCCTTATAATAAAACAATCGGGATAAAGTAGCTCAACGACCTATTTTTTTATTTCGATAAAGGTTATTATAATTCAGATTTCTGACAGTAAATATATTTTTATCAGAATAAAATAGCCTGCCCATAGCACAAGGCGGTAATGTAACTTCTTATATTAATGAAAGAATTTCAAAATCAGATCAGTAGTTTTAAAGTTTCGTCTCTATTACAACCCTATTAATATTTCCCTATTTAATATTACAAATGCGAAAGTTTGGATGGATGTTTGTTGCTCAATCACGCCAGAATGGCTGAACAGATCTGGATGAAATTTGGCACAGATATAGATTATTGTCTGGAATAGCACATAGGTTACTTTTGTCCCGGAAAATGTATGGTTCCCGTGGGATAGATTTGTTTTTGTTTTTCGCTAGGGACGAACCCGAGCGAAGCGAGGGTGAGTTGCTAGTACCCTATACGACAAACTTACAAACTTTATTTCTTTACAATATTTAGTGTACATACATTAGTACAAAATTCGATCACTTTTATTCCCCACATTTTTACTTATAATTTTGTCTTATAGAATTGTTTAGATTATATATATTTTTTAATTCTTTTTGTATTATGTACGTAGAACTATTAAAAATAATTCAACGTAGAGTTATTAATGCGAATCTATAGTTATTTGTATCAATCGCGTGAATTGACTATGTATAATTAAATAACTAAATACTAAAATTAATATAAAATAAAATTGTATTACTTTTTCAAATATTAGTTATATTTTTTTTTCATTATTAAATTATAACATTATTATAATAATTATACCTGTAATAATATCTGCCAAAGAGTCTAGAACCAGGTCAATGCCGCTCTCTGAAACTATTGCTTGTTGTATGGGCTCCCCAAGAAGGGCTTCAGCATCTGTAACAAAATAATAAAAATTGAAAAATATTGTTCAATTTAGTTCATTTTTATAATCCTATGTAATATATTTTAGTAATTTTCGAATAGGTACTACTTTTAATTCTCGAAGGCTTCCATAAGAAATATTATATAGGTATATATGGAAAATATATTTTATGATTATTTTGTAAGATGGTAAATTCAGATGCAAATATAAAGTTTCTAAATATCTCATGATAAACAGTTTGGACGAAATTTTACCTGTATAAAAGTATAGTTTTGGGTTTTTTCACTAAGAGTTTGAAGATTAATTAACACAGGCAAAAATAACTTGCTTAAAAGGGGACCTCAAGCACAAACTTTTTCAACACTATAATCTTTTTATGCAAATAAAATATTTTTATTTATTTTATTTTTAAATTCTGTTAATATGTTTAGATATTTTGCATGTTATATTATATTTAGTTAAGACTTTACATGAAGTACGTACATCTACGACGTGACATAATGTGCCATCTGTGTTTTTCCCGGAAACTTCAGGTTTGCCCTTCGTATTACGTTATGGGATCGCACTTTACGGAAAGAGCTCGTTAGACGAAAGAAAATATATTTTTGTAATGTTCGAGGTAAACAAAATTTCTTTTCAGATGATCACAGTTCGCAGAATTATATATTATAGTTGTAGTTAAATTGTAGTGTACGTAATATATTTTTATAAATAAAAACAAATGTAGGACGTTTTATAAGCAATTAGCTACTTACGCTCGCTTCAATAAGTGCGTCCCTAGGCGCCTTATGATGTGTGTAGGCCTATGTGTTACTCCAGTTTATAATATATCCACATTCACACATTCATACACACATACAAACTTTCACGTTAATATTATTTGTCTATAGTGGCCTGATAATAAACGTACCTTAAAATAGTTCAATATTTTAAGATGAAAATATTTTGTAATGACAATATTATGTCAAAAATGGCGATTTACAATATATAATTTATATCTATGTACTTACCTCTCAAGTCTTCCTTATAAGCATAGTATACCATGTCCACTGGTGGCACTAAGCTTAGATGCAACTCCTGTGCTGCAGAGGAAAGCCAGGATGCTATATCTGCGCACGCGCAGCTCAATATATTCCGACTTTCTGCTACTGCCATACGAGATTGTTCGTTGCTTAAAACCATACCCGATATTAAGAAGCTGTAAGGCAATAAATTATTATGCACATTTTTTTTCAGAATTTAGGTTAATTTATTTATTATTATTTGATGAAATCAAGGAACTTCATAAATTACTGTAAATTGATATAAAAATTGATAACTTTTTAATATTTTAGTATAAAAATATAAATATAATTCCATCGTTGACGATTTGATTGTTGAAATAATTTAATAGTTAATATTTAATTGATGAAAATGCATTTTTTACATTGTTCTCCTGTTTTGCAAAGACAATAATTTTATTTATGTGATTGAGGTATAAAAAAATGTTTTCATCTTTAAAAGTTTCATCTTATACCAAAATTAAATAAATAAACGTGTGCAGAAATTAAAAGATTATCGATTTATTCGCGCTAAAAACTTATATTTAAATATGTAATTAAGTTCGATTAAAAAACTCATCTTTAAATATATGATTAAGTTCGATTACCTATTAGTTCACCAAACTATAATATTTTTTATAAATACTTTAATAAAAAATGTACTATAGAGATGCGAGATAAATACTAAAAAACAATAATATTTATAAAATGAACAAAACCGTACTTTAAATGCATTAAGATGCTTGGTACTTAGTAATATCGCTGGCATAGTCATTAGGACTATAATACTTTGCGTTCCCGAGATTTCTACCTGCGTCCAATTGTCTTGAAAGCTCTTAATTGGATCGAAGGCGTTTGGGAATCGGGGACTTAATGGTTCTTTATTTACTTTATGCACTTTCTCGTATCTTCTTATTTGTTTTGAACATTCGTATGGGTACAGTAAGTTTTCGTTACAATTAATAGTAATATAGTTTACTAACTAGGATCTGAGTTGTTCGAAGTGAAAAATTAAATAAAAAAATTATGCTAATATGTAATAACATTTCTGAAACATTAATACATTATTTTATGCTAACATTAAATATGACGGATCTTATTATTAACGTACGTGAATGTCTAAAATAGTCTTATGTTATAAAAGGAAAAGGGTTTTATATGAATGCAAAAACCAACACACATATATACACATTACACATATGAGTTCCCTATAAAATCACCTACATCTTAAAATATAAATCTGAACGGATGTTTGTCGACACAATCATCAATAATAATAAAAGTAAAATATAAAATCACACGTGAAAAGACAATAAAATTTAAAATATTAATAGTAGAAATGGTTACTTACCAACATATTAGCAGAAATAAAAATGTAAACGTGACCAGAATTTTATCATGACAGTCTGGTCTATCCGGCTCTAAGAATAAAGTTCCAGATTCAATTTCGTCAGTGCATTTTGATTTTGAAAATAACGATATTAGGCTTATTATAAAAAGATAAATAGGAATAATAAAAGCCAACACTCCAAAAATTATAATAAATACCAAAAACGTAGATTCCACTCTGATGGACTGAAAATAATTGAAAAAAAAAATATTAAAATAAATAATATGCCTACTATACGAGTATATCGCATAATAATTTATATATAGTAAGTATACTGTAACATGTTAAATATATTTTTCAAAAATTCTAATATTTATTAAAAAAAAATTATGAATTTTAAATAAATATCCACTAGGTGGATAGAAATACTTTAAAAGAGCCATTTTGTAATTTTATGCTTCTAATATTTATTATGTAGAGATTATTTTGTAATTTATTTTTAAAAATAATGTTAATGTTTATTTTTATTTATATTATATTATTATATGTAATTAAAAAAACATTTTTAATATATAGGTATATTACAATGTAGAAAGATACACTCATTAGAGCACTATTCTATTACAATTAAGTTATATCTCCAATACCCTATTTACTCGTGTACCTAATACTTCCTTATTAATGTAAAGAGGGAGAACTTTTCTACCTTTACTCAAACTATGTGTGATAATATATTACTTCTCTATAATAATAGTCAATACTTTCTTAGATTTATTTAAATGTTTGACATTTTGAGTAAAATTGTTATTTCTGATATAGTGCGGTTTTATTTTTTTTTCTCTTGGTTCATTGCTTTGGTTTATCCTGTGGCCTAAATTGCTGTGAAAAACTCAAAATAATTGAAATCACAAAAAAAATTATATAGTCCGAAAAAATAGTTTATTTAAAATCTTTATAGCCTATACAAATGTCTGCCAAATGTAGGAGTCGAATCTAAATAAAAACGTTAATATAGGTAGTGCACGTGTGAATAGAATAAATAATTCGTTATATCATTTAAAATTGTAGAAAATTTTTACATAATTTTTTTTTCTATGAAGAACACATTAAATGGAAGACATTATTATAATCTGCTTATGACAAAAACGCAAAGAAAATCTTATATGTAGTCAAATACGTTTCTTTTACGTTATTATGTTGCCCATAATATTTTAATAAAACATCAGAAGCAGGCCTGATCATAAAGTGAAGTATCCAATTCAGAAATGACCGATGCACATTGTCGGATGAGAAATAGGCTCATTTGTAGATTAGATACAATCTCATTACTCTGAGTATTTACTTAGATGATATTTTATTTTTCTTTGAAAAATACGCTGCTTTGCATCTAATGGATTAAGCTCGAAATATATTTTACCCTGCTAATAATTAACTAGGAATACGTTAGTTGGATGGACAAAGTTATATATATAACTTTTTTATTACATTTATAATTTATACATATAATAAAATTGTAACTAAGCCGAATCTGTACATTAAATATTTTTTGGAAAATCTTATTGAAATAGATATTATTATCGATACAGAGGCCGAATCTATAGTTTTTACAATTTTTGTCTGTCTGTCTATGTGTTAGCGCATCACAGAAAAACCACTGTAGGGATTTTGATAAAATTTGGAATGGTGACAGCTGGTTATCTGGGTCGACATATAGGATACTTTTTACTGCGGGAAAATATCGCATGTTTGAGAAAAAATACAAAAACTGCAATGTAAGAGTATAATAATATGTAAAACCTAAGAACAATCAAATTATACATCATTTAGCTAAAACTTTATGTTTCAGCATTATTTGAGCTTTTAAGAAAAACCTATATTTTATAAAGTATGGGAAAGAGAAAATTGCCATTTTCACTTTATTTTTGCTATGGGGATTCTTACTGAGAAACCTCCATTAGAGAATGGACTATTTTGTCGCTATCAGCTTACAGGAAGTGAACCTTTTAAAATGTCAATGCCTTTGTATAGATAGAATACACTTTTGAATTTTAGTTTATTTTTACTAGCGATATGAATTTTAATTTTTAAGCATGTTACACAATTTTAATAAGAGGTGATTCAGTCGTCCTTAAATAGGGACCCAAATTTTTTTTTAATTGTATTAGGTAACGGTTGGTAACATATGTTTTATTACGTCAATTTCCTCAAAATAATAAAAAAGTAAAAAGTCAAAGACGTTTATTAAGAGGGGTCCCAATACAAGATTATTATATACATACATATTGAATACAAACTATAAAGAAAAACTGCAATAATAGAAACTAGCCAGGTATAGGTTACATAACCAGTGGTTTATTTATATAATTCAAGCTATTTACATAATTCAAGTGAGTATTGAATATAGATAGTGTTAGCCCAGTGGTAACACGTTCACTTGGGTAACCGAGTGAAGCGGGGTTCAAATCCCGGGTATCGCACCTTTGGTATTTTTATATGCAAACATGATTATCACTTGTCTTACGATGAAGGAAAACACGTGAGGAAACCTATATGTCTGAGAGAACCTAGCCAGTTTTCGAACGTATTATAAAAGCTAATACATTAAAACTAAAATATACACGTGACATTACTATTCAGTTATATTTAACATTCTTGCTTTCGATAAACTTTCTATACGAATAATCACATGAGAATTAGCTGAGATGTTTATTTTATAATTTATCAACTGGTATAAAATCCTTTAAAAAAGAACTGTTTGAACTATTTAGTTTTTTAAATTAAAAAAAATATAGTTTATTATTTTTAAAACATTTACGTTTAGTTTTTTTTTTATTAATTTATTCGTTTTGTTTTATAAATCGAATTTCCTCCAAATTGACTAGTGAGAACTATTTTTCTATATTTAGAACAAGATATAACTCAAATTCAATTCAACTCAGAATTGATTAAATTATTTCCTTAAGAAGCTGACTAGGGGAGATCTTCATGAAGTGAGATTTAAATAATTGAGCCTCTAGGTAGGGATATAAGAAGCTTAAAAATTAAACAGAAGTGTACCAATAAATATTTAATATAAAACTTAGACGATTTTTTAAACTATTTAAAAGGCCCTTTTGTGCTGATAGCATGTTGGTTTATGGGTACAATAGTTTTGACATTTCCAATTTAATTTTCCTCTTTACGAAAACATAATTCAATTTTCACGAGGAATAATTTAATGGAAAAGAGAAATAGCTAGTAACATTTTTTTATCATAGTCAGTCACATTGCCAAAAATGTATTATTACTTCTTTTTGAGTTCTAATTACTTCATATGATATTTTATTGTTTTGTACGATATATTTATCACAAAAAATCTATATATGTACCTTTTTATAGGTATATTAATATTTTATTGTAAATATTAATATAGGAAGAACTTTATACCGAATGATATACCTTGCCTGTCCTGGGCCCTGGATAAAAGAAAATATTACTATTAAAACGAGTTAGATAAATAGATCTTATTTTATAATTTTTAATTCTACATCTAATTTTTTCCTAGGTGCAAAAATAATATTTTTCCATTATTGGTAGAGGTCGGTCAAACTCCAACCGACTGCAAGAATTTATCTCGTCAGATGCCCCTTTCGTGGGATTATCGGTATATTGGGATTTCCCTGCCCGTCCAGAATAAACAAGTGATAAGCAATTCACGATCCAGCTCTGGAGAAGTAAGTAAGTAACCTGCATGGTATACCTTCCGGTACCACGGTGGCTACCATTGAAATATTTTTTTACCGAGGTAATAATTATTGGTGGAACCTCCAAGTTCATTTCCTTCCAAGGCCGATAGGCGCTCTTAGCCTCTTACAAGTAAGTACAGCTTTTACCTTCACAGTCGATTGCCGCATGCTAGTGACACTTAACTATCACAAGGTAACCAACATTAGGGGATGCTCCGCCTATTGCGTTTAAGGTCGCACGTGATATTTTTTACCTACGATGTAGTTAAATAGATACATATATTACATATATGTATAATAAAAATTACAATCAGAAATATGTAAAATAAATTATTAGCTATTTTTATTATATTTGATTTATATATAATTTTAGCTGAAATTACATTATCTTGCAAATAAAAGATAGATTAATAAGTGTCCATTAAATAAGGTGTACTTAATCCGATTTCAATGTTTACCTAAGAGTGTCCTAATGTGTATTGTGCATATTTTTATTGCATTACATTGTTTTTCATATAGGTACATTTTTCTTTTTTATCTATCTTGTTTGTTGCCGTTGACCTTTACAATAACTAAACTAATTATATAGTTACTTGGTGTGAATCAATGCTCATCATCAAATGCTCTATGTATATACATGTCTATGTATATCTATGTATATACATATGAAGTGCCCGACTGTATAATACTATGTTTCGACATCGTCTTATTTACATCTTTTTACTTGGCTTTATACGTAGGTGTTTTTTTTTCATTTTTTTTTCTCTTATGCTAGTAGGTACATAATATAATCTATTAAGTAATAAAAATACTTAATTATTTAACTTGTTGTGTTTAGTAATAAACTAGCATTGTCCGCGGCTCCGCCCGCTAACAAAAAAAACTAAAATGTAGTATAAGAAAATATCATATCAATACGGAATCTTCAAATGCCCGCCATTTCGCGGCTTAGCGTGACGCCAAAGTATCATACATAAAAAATGACAACTTTAGTTTATAGCGACAAAATCGCTAATCACTCTGATAAGATAATACTTTAACATCATATTCGATCTGACCAATGGCGTGCTTTTCAACTACTTTGAATTTCCCACTTATATTTATACTTTTTAATAATTATTATTTTAATAAAAAAGAAATTACAATAGAAAATATTAATATAGGCTTAATTCTAAAGCAATGAAGATAAAAAAATACTTCACTTTTATTTAAATCACACGTATATTCCCTAAGGTCTGTTATTGGCAAAATAGTTAAAACACATTAAGTTCCTTGGATTTTTGCACGAGGCCCTTAAACAAATGAAGAATATTCTGCCTCCCTATCTGTCTAAACCCGTTTATTTCCAAAAGAGCTGAATTGATTTTACTAAGATTTTCACTGGCGGTAGAGTGACAAGAGCATATTTCGGTAAAAGAAAAGCGTTTCCACGGTATAGAGAATAAAAAAATTACAATAAATTTTATGTACCTAATTAATTTATAATTTAGAACTCCTAAAAGTTATTTTTTGTCTCTGCTTTCCTTGAGGAAACACCTCAAAAATGTTTAGTTTTGAACAAAAAAAGTTTCTTAGATAAACTACGCTCTATATTATTTACTGTGTACAACATTGTAGGCACTGGGCACTGTGCCCGCTTGCTAAAAGCATTTCAACTTTAACTTCGTTGGTTAAAAACTTTATACATTAGTAGAGATACCTCAGAGAAACTCCTTGAATTGTTTTAATATACAGTAACGAATTAAATTATAAACTCATTACGTCTACTTTAAAAAACAAGAATAAAAATCTTAACCATCAGTCTTAACCAACTTACCTTTAAAAATGAAAACGGAAAGGAGGATTTGCCCACCACAATGTCCTTGACTGGACCTAAGGGGTAAAGATTGTTTATTTTTCTTCGAAATAGCTAAAACTTTAATTGTGACATAATAAATACTATTTGTCTATTCTTACCAATTGGATAGTCAAAAAAATTAATCACAGAGAAAAACTTTGACATGAAAGTGAAAGGATGAAATCCATCTTCCAGCTTGAATTTTGGTAATAAATATGTTTGTGTTTGAGGCAAACTGGTAAATGTTATTTTTTTCCTATCTTTTGTTGTATGAAATTCGTCTAAATCTGTGTCTTCAACACTATTTATTGTATTTTCCGTTGCAATTTCTAACGTAATATTAATTGGATCTGTAAAGTCATTCGATAAATCTTCCGTAATTGGTATAATTGGTACCTCAATAGTTACAGTCGATGTTTCCAAAGGTGGGGTTATTGTTGTGAATATTTCAGTAATTTCCAATGTTGTAAGTAGTTCATCGCTTCTAGCAGACTTAAATATATTGTATTTTTCCAACCAAGCTCTCAAAGCAGATGTACCACTTGAATTTAAAGAATTTCTTTTGTTCAAAACATTGCCTATACCTTTAATATTTTCTATTTCCATATTTTTCGAGTAATTGACATCAGAGTATGTCCTTGCGTTAATATCTGAGGTTTCTCTACTCTTATAGTCTCTATATGTAGTGTCATAACAATTGTCCCAGACTAAGTTCATAGGCTGTTTCAAGTTATAGGCTTTCTCATTTTCCAAAGCGCTTTGCCTTTCTAAGAAATTTCCTTCAGATGAGCGCAATTTGCTGGTTCCCCCATCTTGATCACTTTTTATTTTTTTACCGACATTCGTTTCCCCAATCGGAAGAAATGTCGAGATTGCTCGGAAATTTTCTTCTTGTACATCTAGAGAGTTACTTAGTACGTTGGCCTCGAAGACATTTAGATTGTTTCCGGCTGAGCCCGTTGGCGTCGCTTCCGTGGTCCGGATTTGTTGAATTTGCAAAGTAAAAACCGATTTCGCGGAACCTGTCTCTAATGTATTTATTTCACTTGGCAAATCACAGTCCGTTCGAGATAAAATAACCTTTGCTAACAAGATTGCAAGAGCCAGCGGGGCCGTTGACATTTTTCTAAAATTTTATTTGTTACTTCTCAACTTTATTCTGTTCACGTCATATAATTGTTAATATCGATGAGTTACTGCGGTGCGGGGCATTGGAAAGGGGATTTGTAGCACTTAGCAGTCTGCCGTAGGTACTCCACTTACTGGATTATAAGAAGTGTAATCAAATACAAACTATTTTTTATAATAATATTATTAGTAAAGATAAATTATATTTTAATTATATTATGCAATAAATTAAACATTATTAATAAATATAGTTCTTTTTCATTTTATATATTAATAAAATATATATGGGTAATAAAATGAACTTATCATTAATTAGCTTCCGATGCGAAATAATCATATTTTTTTTATTTAAAAGAGACAACGTTAAAATAAGTAGCAAACACGAAGAACTATTTTTTTTTCTAATTTTAACCTTTGTCTACTGTATGATGAACGAAGATATTTAAATGTTTTTATATAATTCAAATTTATAATATTATGCTCAAGGTATAAGGTAAAATAATTGTAATATAATATGTAACCAATATACACTGAATTTAAATATTGTGTCTGTCTGTACACGCATTACTCTATGTATGTGGGTTGATGATTTTCTATAACTAGAAAAACGTTAATATGTTACAGTTTTCTATGGAAATATTGTTACTTATATTTTATAAATTCCTTTAATAAATACTCTTTATTAATATAATAAAAGTGAAAATGCTTTCTGTTTGTTTATGATAGCTTTGCGCCTTAACTGAACGGAACGGCCCTGCTCGCTCGTATCGTTAGCACAAAATATACATATTATGCTACTTCTTATCGCAATCCAACAAGCTGATAGTAATGATGAAATTTTTGTTCTAGTATTTAAATAAATACCCATTATTAATGTTTGAATGCACCTGAAACTATTTACGAGTACCTATAACATAGATATACAATGCTAGCGACTAACTACGGCTTCTAGTTGCTTTATTAAAATTAATAATTTCTCATAAATATATAATATTATAATCCCATAAGCAATTTAATTATGAAAACGCGAAAATAGGAGTTTATTTTTTTTTAAATAGTCTCGAAATAATGTCATGCTTTAAATAAATAAAAGAAAAAAATGAGGAAATGTGAAGATTGAAGAATAAGATTCGGGGTATAGGTCTACAGATATTTATTTTTTACTAGCAGAACCCGCGGCTTCGCTCGCGTTAAAACCACAAAAAAATGTCTAAAAAGGTAGTTTCATCCAAACTTTTATCCCCTCTTTTACCTCCTTATACATTGAATTTCGAAGAATTCTAATACACGTATTTATTTAATTTTATTGAAGAGCATTAATACCAAGTTTCAAATAATTCTGATCATAAGTATATTTTTGGATTATATTATTACGTGTTTTCCTGTGAGAATTAGAATATAATATCCCGCGGTAAAAAGTAGCCTATGTCACTCTTCAGCTCTCCATCTTATCTCCACACAAAAAATCACGTCAATCCATCTCTCCGTTTCGACGTGAAAGAAGGATGAACAAACAAACACACTTTCACATTTATAATATTAAATTATGGATTCGATAACTAGGTATTTTTAATTATTAATCTTGATTTGAAGCTGGAGTCCGGCTCGTCTATAATGCTTCTATAGTTACGTTAGTTTATTTGTCTACGCAAAGTTTAAACGTTTAAAGTTGGTATTAGTGAAGTTTGGCCTTACTTTTCCATTCAATATACAAACTTTATATACAACATCGTTTGCAACATATTTGAATAATTCATGGCTCTATACAGAACTTGTATTGAAATTTATTCCTGCAAAATACTGCACTTTGACTCCAAAATACTGTAATTTTGTTTGCGTCACTAAAGTTTGAAAAGATCGCAGGAAAGTATGAATCTTTTAATTATATCTATTTCTTTTTGACTTAAAAATTTGTATAAAACCACATTTACATATAAAATATACGATAATATCCAGTAAAAAAATATATTGTGATAGTCGTATTGTAAATCTCAAACCTTATACATATATCTGCTTCAAGTGCTTTTGTGCGAAACCTTTTTAATGTATAAAGCAATACCGATCTTAATATCAGAGTTGTGAAAGAGGTGAATGAGTATTTTTTCTGTGGCAAAGAAATGAGGGCGCGTGACCGTCATGGTGCAAGTATGTTATGTCAACATACTGCATTTCTTTCGGGCTAGATTTTCCGAGATTTTTTAAGCTAAATTGACTAGTTGCAGGTGGTTGAAGAGAAACAGGTCAGCGGGTCTCGTCGCTGTGTCATGAACATGTGTCAGGGGCGCATGTGGCTGTCGTGTGTATTTATAATTATTTTTTATTTTTATTTTATTTTTACAGTAATATATATTAATTATTTTATAAGTTTATATTAATAAATAAACTTATTATTATTATTAGTACATAAGGTTAAATGTGTTTTTAATAAGAAATTATTATTGTTACTTATTAGGTGCTATAATGGTGCTGTGAGGTTGCCAAGATTAAGGTAGGAACAGTCTAATATAACATTATCTATTTTATTATATTTTGTATCTTGTGATGGTTTCTAATTTCTTTTTTTTTAATATTTCAATTTTTTTGTAACGTCACATTTAAAAAAATAAGTATGTATGAACAGTTTAATTGCTTATTTTTGTACTGACTGTGATTAAAAAAAAAAGATTTTATAAAGATAAGACTTTATAAGAAAAATAACGTATTTATTTTTTAAATTATGTAGATCATGTTTTTTTATTCTTTTTTCTCTAATCCAACCCTGTTGGCACATATTTCTATTAATTACCGCGACAACTGGGGCGCGGCATCTATCTCACGGTAGCCGAAGTCTAGCTATTGGATGTTCCACACACGACCAGACATTTATTTAGAAATATTTTCAATCAGGATAAAGGTAAAATTCATTTCTTTTTTACGCATATATTTTTTAATTTAAATTCTTGATGAAAATAGTCAAACAATCACAACCAAATAATACAACAATTGTATTAGCGGTAACGCATTTCCTTGTGAAGTGGGTTCAACCCCGGGTTGTACCTCTTAGGTTTTCATGTGCGAATCATTTTAAATATGATACCGCCTACTAATATGGAGAAGGAAAATGTCGTATTGGAAGAAGTGGACGAAGAAGGAAAAACTTCAAGTCTAAAAGATCGAACTACGTGTGAAGTCCACCAAATTGAACTTTGGCCAACTTGGTGGACTATGGTATATATTATGTATACTCGTATTAAAGGTAATGCCATGTTCAGTGGCACGATAAACAAAGGCTGAATCATATTTTTTATTATTAATACATATTTGTCGTGATAAATAAACAATAAAATTAAAAAAAAACTCCCGACCTTCTTGGACCAATTTTCATCAAACATAGCTAAGAGCACTCCCGACTAATTCACCTTTGAAAAAAAAACAAAATCAAAATCGGTTCATCAGTTCGGGAGCATCGATGCCATAGACAGACCGACACACACACACACACATACATGTCAAACTTATAACACCCCGTCGTTTATGCGTCGGGGGTTAAAATATATATATTTATGTCTCATATAATTTTGAAGCTTGATATGATAAAGTATTTTCATATTCAGTAAAGTTGAGCATCGTTTAATGAATATTCCAGCCATTTCAGAGATTCGTTAGTGACTAATGAAATCCTATATAAGCTCGAGTTAGGGCTACGTAACAGCGATTTCCATAGTTTACCCATCAATAATTTGTCAATCGCTCTATCTAAAACGTCACGCTTTCTGTCTTTCACAGTGCACAGAGAGTAGCTGATTACCTTTTTTTTCACTAAATTAAGACCGCGTGTTAGAAAATGACTCTGACGGCTTTAATATAATCCTAACGATTACTTAATATTAAAAATGTGAAAATGTGCGTGTTAGTTTAACAGCATCAGAAGATCGTACTAATTTAATATTTAACAAATACAGTTTTTCGGCTGGAGAGTGAATCAAAATGTGCTATACTATATTCAAACTAAAACTTACATTATTAACACACCTTTTCATTTTAAATATGCGTGGTGACCCTAGTTTAGGTGCTCAGAGATGACCGAAGATTTATAGGCAATTTCCTGTAATATCTCAAGTTAAACTTAGTTTCAACGATTTAATTTTAAGTGTCGACAGATTCGATTTTCTTGATGACCAATCTTAGATATAACTAAGTAATTTAACATTTTTCAATTTTATTTTATTAAATTCTTATATACTTATTCATTTTAAAATAAATAAATATATAAATTTAAATACATACATATTATAAATAAATATAAACAGTCATGACTGAAGTACAAACATTCGTGCTCATCATACAACTGAATGCTCCCAGCGGGAATCCAACCCGCGACTACTGGCACAGCAAGTAGAGTCACTACAACCTGAGCCAAACGTGACGTCGAAAAATTGAAAAATGATCTCTCAAATATTTCCATAGATACTTTGCAATCCAATATCATAATATTTCTGCTAAACTCGTCCAGTATGTGACCTATAATATTTTCTATTTCATTCGAAGCCAGAGATGCGATTTGATCTAACAAATGAAAACACTTGCTTGAATATAAACTAAACAAATATTTTAAATTACTGTCATTAATTCTATTGAATAATTTCTGAAATAACTTCACTTTACTTTTCTTACTTAGAAAAGAACACTAATTGCTATTAATTTATAGTATAAAATATCCATAAGAGTATTGTCATAATAATCAATATCATGTTTATTATTTTTATTATTATACCCTTTCTATGTCATTTGTTTAACTATTCGATACAAAATTTACTGTATTTGATACTAATCAGAGATATAAAACATTAAACATAGTTTAGATCTGAATAAAAAATAGCCAAACAAACAGATAAAGAGAAAAAGTAAAAAAATCGGTTAAGTGCGAGTCGAAATAACAGTTATAACACGAACTGTATTATAACTGTATATACTTTTTATTAATGTGACTTTTTCTCAATGTATGTGGTATATTA